AATGTACTTGAGTAAAAGTAAAATTACCTATACCCGAAACTACTACAAAAACTACTCAATTACTTTTAGGTGAGTGAATGTAACTAGTTACTTTCCACCTCTCGTTACAAGACAATTTTTTTTGTGAAGATTACACTAAATTATTATTATTGAAAAGGGCAGCATTTTAAGGGATTTTCAGAGGTAAAAATGAATTGTCTCACCTTAGAGCTTCAACGTTTCCATTTTTGTGGACACAGGTCACTTCCCGGGATTGGGAGCCAACCTGGAGGTCCCAGAACTTTCCTCCCACGCGGTTTTTACGGTTCCTGGTCCTCTTCTTCTTGATGAGTTCTCTTGTCTCCGGGTCCTTTGCCTTTCCCCTCTCTCTTAACCTTTCTCTGACTTTCTCTCTTTTGTCCTTGTTTTTCGCTTTTTTCTGCCGTTTGGGCCTGTCCGCCTGCCGAGACGGACCGTCGGATTTGGTGTTCGCTCTGCTTAGTTTACGGTTCTCCTTGGACGGTTTATCTCTGTTTCTCGGTAGTTTGACGACCCCTTTGGCTAATTTGTCCTTGTCCTTCCGCTGTTTCTCACCCTCCTTGCCAGGCTTATCCCCTCCTTTTGACTGCTTTTCTCCCTCGCCAGGCTGGGGAACGGTCTCTCTGGAGTGTTTATCACCCCCTCTGAAAGGTTTATCATTTCCTCTTGACTGTTTCTCTCCCTCCTTAGAGAGCTTATCACTTTCTCCAGATGATTTCTCGCTGTCTCTGGGTGGTCTGCCAGCTTGTCTGGCTTGCCTTGGCAGTGGTACAGAGCAGGACCCCCAGGGTCCTACCCTGAGGCTGTAAAGATTCTCTTCTCCTTCGCACAGTCCCAGCTGGCATGTTTGGAATTCAGTCAGGTTTGGGCAAAACGCCCCGCCGAACAGTGGCGGCGACAGTACGAAACGGATGCGGTTCTGTAAGCCCATTCCACACGTTTTTGAGCAAGAGGTCCACTGGCTGAACTCGGAAACCACGCAGTCCCGGGGACAAGGTATAATGCACGCCTGCTCGAGGCGGGGCTTGGGCTCAAAGTACTCGCAGATTGCACCCTCCGCTGCTTCTCCGTTCGCTTTTTGGACGCAGTCCACCTCACGGGTCTGGATGCCCTCTTCTCCCCAGGTGCACACAGCGGGGCGCTGCACCCCGGCGCTGCGCAGCGAAACGGGGACACACTCGTTCCATGTCCCCAGCTGCCAGTCGTACAGGTTTTTGTGCCAGTCACACACTCTGAAGCAGCTCTGCTGGTTGTCCGGGCGCTCCGTCTGATTGCAGTTGGTGTGCAGGGTGGTCCAGCCTTCAGAGTGTGCGCACCACACCGCTCTGCTCTGACCGCCTCCAGGGCCACACTCGCTGCCCATACATCGGCCCCATGGTCCTAAGGGAAAGACGAAAAAAAGGTAAGGATTAAGGAAAAGTTCA